TGCAGACACCCCCAGTTCATCAATTTTAGAACCTGCATTGGTGGACACTTCTGTAGAGGGGGCTGAGAGGGGGGAAACAGCAGCCAGAGGTATATAGGGAAGATTATAAAAGATAGATAGTAAAATTGACATATAAATTTATCTAGTAAGTAATAGCTAGCTGTAAAAGCAAGAGTGAAGACATACAACTGAGAAGAGAAAATGTTTTGAGTGTTTTTAGAGTGCTGCTTTACCACTTCGATAATTTTTTTTCCTTGTAAATTATTATATTTTTATTCCTTTATGACTTACTCTGGTTAGTTTGTCTATGTGTGCACCACTTCAATCTTGATTTTAAAATAAAATTTTGAATTTCATGAGGTAAAGACATCTTATTTTATCAAAGTGAAAGCTTCCTTTTATGGGAAATTTGAGAGAGAGTTCAAGATAAAATGCAATTCCCCATCATCAATGTTGCCAAAGATAAGGACTGGTGTTTCACATTTAGCAGTATTTATGCAGAAACATAGATAACTAGAAATAGAAGTGTTGTAGTATTTATAAGTATTCAAAATAGAACTGAAGTTTCATACTATTTACAGAATCATCAGAGGATATTCTGGAGAAGTATCGCCCGAAGCCCTCCACCAGTGCCACTTCATCTCAAGAGATAGCAGGACTCCCTAGTATAGATGTTACAGCCATGAAAGAGAAAAGGATGTCGGTGAAGGATGAGGACATTCAGGGTCCTCCTCTGTATGACCCAGATAATCTTGAGACCTGCTTTGCTTTCACTGATACAAAACGAAAACTGAGGATTGTTCTCAGTAACACAGACATACAGCTAGGATATAACCTTCTGGAATTCTCTCCTCAAGTAAGGCAGGAAGCAGGAAAAACAGATTCTTCAGAACTCTTCAAGGTGTTAAGAGGGCAGCTTGCTGAGGCCATAAACCTACAAGACAAGGACATTATAGCACAGCTTCATGAAGCCATTAGATGTGTTAGGCTGTTTGATGGAGAAGGGTAAATAAGAGGAACATTGAACTTTCAAAAATTATAAAGTCAACTTTTTTTACAGTCTACCATCTAATCAAAGAAAAGTAACATTTCACTTTCTTTGATTTTCAGCTGTAGAAAATTAGTTCGTTCTTTACAAGAGGACTATCAGAGTCGAGCTGCATACATTTCATATTTAATTCGCTGTCGACAAGGCCTCTTGGGAACTCATTCACATCTCCAGCGTCTTCTAAGCAGAATCAAGAGGTAACAAAAGTTTGTCTTAGAGATACAATGATCTCATAGAGAAATTTTTAAAAAAGTGTTTTATTGAAAAGAAGAGAGAAAGAGAAATCTAATTCTCTTGAATTAGCAGTTTACTTCCATCAATTTACTTGATCTGAATACTTCAGTGATATATAACAATATATGGTTATCTTTCAGGGATAAAGAAGTATGTGGGAATCATATAACCAGAATCTGTGTCAAGCTTTTTATTGAGAGGAAAGAAAGCAGTGTTGTTAGGTTTATGTCAGACTTTCAGAAACTCACTGTTTCAGATGAAAAGGTAATTTTTATCTTCAAAATGAGGAAAGATTAAAACAATCAAAAAACTTCTTGACAAGTTAGCATACTATGATTACTATTTTTCAGACTGATCATGTGGAACAATTTCTACAATACTTGTATCAAGCCATGAATCAGGACCCGGTGTGGCAAGGTAGGGCACAGATGTAAGCCAGAAGTGACGAAAACAATTCAAAACACAGTTTATAGAGTGTTTTTGTGAAGTGCATGACTTCTAATTAATCTTTAACTTTTTACTCTTTTTATCAGCTGCCAATGAGAGTCAGATTGAGGATGCCCAGCTGGCCATTGAGAGATACATTATGAGTCGTATTTACACACATGCCATGTTTCCTAATGGAGATGGAGACATCTTGAGGGACCAGTATGTCAGCCCTTTCTTAACTTAGCTTAGAGAGCTTGTTTATAAATGTTTTGTCAACAGTAATTTTGATTTGCTACCTTTGCACACATTTTTTGGTAAATTTAAAAAACAAAAATTATTTTACCTACGTGTTATTACACTCTTATAAAAAGGAAGAAAAGAAGAAAAAATAATCACAGTTGATTTTGTTTTCAGATTATTTCATGAACACATTAAGAAACTGAGTCAAGTAATCACTCCTTCCCACAAGGACCTGAGGATACCACGTATGTACCAGTTTGAGTGTCCATGGACTGCCGCTCAGAAGGAAATCTACATGATCAATGCTTACAAGGTTTCTAATTCTAATTAATGCAGTGTTATAAAAAAAAAATAAAATGTTGATACTTTATTAGTATGTCTTGGTTGAAATCAATCAATGTCAATTACTCACCTTGGTGATCTAGCTATCCATTCTTTTCCTTAATGTGCTTCTTCTGTAACCTTCGAACTATTTAAGCAGTTTTTACTTAAATGCTTAACAATTTGCAAACAAATGGTGTGAATAGAAGCATCCATGAAAAAAGGGAAATAAAAATTGTGAATTTCTTAATTCTTTTTCCTGATTGATGGGGCCAAAACCATCAAAATTCATACAATCTTAAAAAATTTTGAAATTCATGACATACACATAATTTTTGAAACAGCACAGCAAGGTATGATTATTTTTTTGGTCATCTACATGTATTTTGATACACCAAACTTTATAAAATTTTCTTGTTTTGTATACAGACCCCTAAGGACAAGGTCAAATGTGTTTTCCGCTGTGCCACCACCATTATGAACCTCCTCAGTATGGCTAACGAGAAAGCGGTCCCTGCTGCAGATGATTTCATCCCTGTTCTCATCTATGTCATCATCAAAGCCAATCCTCCCTGTATGCTGTCCACCATCCAGTATGTACAGAGTTTTTATGGTAACAGGATAGGAGGGGAGGAACAATACTGGTGGATTCAATTCTGTTCAGCTGCCGAGTTTATAAAAAATATGGAATACACAAATGAATGATGACTGTCATTGATATATCATGTATAAAGTTCCTTTTTAATATTGGAGAGATGGTTGTAGATGTCAATTTTATCAGTCACATTTTTTTCATACTGATACAAACTTTTATCTGAAACTCTGTCTCAGAAAAAAAAATTGTCAAGTGGAAACTTGTAATTTTTCTTCACAGCTTTAAATTGAATTATTTTATTATTTCCGAAAGTGAATCTTTACAGACAGTAAAATACTCTTTATTCCTTAATATTTACTTCCACTGAATATTTCTCCTTTATTTCCTATAAAAACAATTTTGCTTGTTTATCAGAAGCAATTTCAAAACTAGATAGATATGACTTTTAAAGCCATATGTAACATCAAATATTAAGAAAGTGTAAAAGGTCAACTTTCATATGATGATTGCAATCATTGCAAATAGAAATTATATGAACAACTCTTTCTGCAATGTTGCAACCATTATCTCCCATATAAAAAAAAAGCATATTGTTAAATAAATGTATTCATTATATCTGTTAAATGGATATGTATTTGTTACATCAATTGAAACCCTGTTTATAATAACCCAGTTTTTGTTTACCATGTTGATGGATTTAATCATGCACATTCTTGGTTTTCTGCATGTACATCATAAGGGGAGATAATTCACTCCATAAACTGTTACTGAAGGAAAGGGCACCAGGAGTCTTTCAATCTGTGGAGGAAACTTGTTCTGGAACAAATTTAAGCATGTATACCTTTGTTATTGTTGGGGCTCTTTAATCAATGCAGAATTGTTAAATATGTGTGTTGGTGATGTTGTGTAGAGCTTGCATATAGTCAGTGCTTGTGATTCAAGTTTTGCTGCTTTAGTTTTCTGCTTTAAATAATAATGGTATTCCTTAGTTATGTTTGATGTCATTACCATAAGGATAAGAATTCTTTTTTGTAAAGTCAGATTCTGCAATTTTGTTGATTTATTTTTTTTTTTTTCACATATTTTGAATATTACCTGTAAATGTTTAGAAGTTTGCTTAAATATCCCTCCTCAGGATTCTCCAAGACAAATCTACAACATTCAAAGTGTTCATTTTGTCTTTGTACATATCACTGTCTTGGATCTCCAAAAAAGAGATATCAGCTGGAGTTTTAAAACAAGTATGTCTCTGTTTTATGCAAATTACACTGTAAGAACTACATGTACTTTTATTTTTGTTTTGAAAGCTTCAAATTTGTATTAAAACAGGCAGTTTACATAGTATGTTTGTTTACTGCTGTAGTTACAATTTTTTTACTTGTAGATATTGAGCTGTGATCATTAATTTTTTTTGTGTAAATATATTGTATAAAGCAACAACTTCTTATAATGTTATGGTGTCTATATTTTTGACAACACATTTGTTAAATATAAAACAACTAGAAATTAGTCACATCTTAACATTTGTTCATGTTTTGGCAGAGAGTGATGGAGCCTTTTCTTAATCAGTATTTTGAGTTCTGCTGCCAAATTTGCAGTGCTATGCATGCTTCATAATAAATGGAGAGTCAACATTTATCTCCCTCATATCTTCATGACAGTACAAAAAGTACCAGGTAGTTCAGATGTAAAGTACACATTGTAAAAAGACCGAAGAAATCATATTAAATATAAATCTTAAAAGTTCATCAGGTTTGTTTTCATTTTTAGTATGTAAGACACATTTGAGAGACAGCTCTTCTCAGTATTGTCAATAACAGTAGCAATGCTGTATAGTTTGTTATCTACAATCCCGTCTGGTAAATATGGAACTGTTTATTGGAGAAATTTTACGTTTGTCACTTACATGGAATAATTTGTACAGAACAAGTGATACTGGTTTTGATTTTATGTATTCATTATAAAATCAAGAGAGTATTTTTTCTCAACTTCATACTAAAGAATTATGCTGACTGAAGTTTTCAAGCATGAGCTTTGAGCGAGAATCCATTGATTGAAAATGACACAATAGATATCCCTGTCATAAGTATTTTATTTAAACCTAAACTATTTCCTTGTGGTAATATAAAGTTGTTATGTTTTGGTGAATAGTGTACTGTGGTCTGGGAGAACCCGGGCATTACACCCATCTTTGGTACAGCAGAAGTGACAAGTGTATTCCCCACTGATTGGAACTTGACCAAAGTTGATACAGTGATCCTGGTCAGAGGTCTGAGACAACCATTGTGTTTCACACTCCTGTCTGGTCACACACCTATGATTAAAAAAAAATCTATAATAAATCAAAAGTATGAGATGCGTTTCTCTTCAATACCGATAATAAAACTTGTCAAATGCAAAAATGAAAAATGCATGTTGTTTTGTCTTCTGGTCAGACCAAAATGTTACCCTTCCATTTTCCATTTATAGAAAACTGATATTTTTGCAAGTATTTCTAATGGAAATTCAATGGCATTCAAAATCACTTGTTGCTGTTCTTGAATCAGAAACTTTAACAATGTTTATCAGCTTTCAAGTCTTTCAATGAGAACCTTTCCTTGTCCTATATTTAGGAAGAACCTACCAATTATTGTTATTCTAGTTCGTTCTAATAACCTGCTCACAGGATGTGCTGTTTAGCACAGAGTTTACTTATAAATGAAATCATTAGCATTAATCATTCAAATTAGCTGTGTTATTTTCCTGTTAATTTAGCACAGAATGCACTACATACTTTTTCTTTTAAGAACCTGCTTCTTCGTTTAACTTACCTCTTAAGGATGTTGTCATTACCATGGAGATCATGATGTATATCTGTCATACAGAAGTCATGTCCCTGGGGACACGATGTAGAGGGTCCAGTGTAAACCTCCAAGGTGGAACAGGGAGTAGAAGTACGGGGATCCCCACACTGGTGACATTGCCGGGTCACTGCAGAGAAACAAGCTGCCATTAGTGTGTTTCTTTTGGAAGTGGGAAAGAGGAGTTAAGCTGATACAGGAATGAATATCTTTTTTTGTGAGTGTATGTTTCTTAAAAAAAAATGGTTTGTTGTGTATTTCTTTTATGCTATTATGTTTCTTTCCTAATGGAAATTGAAACATCTTCCTAAGCTACACTGGAATCGATTTTAAAATAATTGCCATTATTCATTAAATAGGTTTCCAGGTGCATACATATCACTAGAGTTTATTTAACATGGGCACATGGATGAGGCTTAAAATATGAGGCCATTTGCCCCCCTTCCATTCGGGTTGAAGCACTTTGGGGGGGGGGGGGTGTAATGACTTGGATCATATTCTTTTCCTTTACCCTTTCCCAGATTTGCACAAGAGTCTGAAAAGATGAGCATTCTATTCTTGATGATTTAGAGGATACAACACCGGACCAACCAAGGACTGAGAGTTTGAATAGTGGAAGTACTTGTAGTTGTGGAAAGAGCTGGATGATCGGGGTCTTAATATACACAATGGTAGTGTGGATTTACGCCTATTCAACGATTGACAGAATGCAAAGGACAACCTGGTGAGATGGATTAGGTGGTCCAGGACTCTGAACACAGTGCCCACCACAGTCCGTGTGTCAGCAATGGAGGCAGCCAAAGAGAGTTGTTAACATCAAAAGAGCAGCATCCATTGGAGGCTGGGACCAAAGAAGAAAGGTAAGATCAAGTGGTCAGCTAGCAGCAACAAAGGGAATGGAAGTAATTCCATAATGATAAGGATACCCTACTCAACGCTTCATTGGTAAGAGTAAGAGACAAGAAGGTTGAAGGCAAGTCAACAAGAATGTACAATGTAGGTCTATACAGATTTGGCACGGAAGACAGGCAACAATCCGAAGGAGCAGTCAGCCAGAATGGAAGATAGATATTATCATTTTGAGAATGACGGAAAGAAGCAGAAGAATAAGGAAGAAACGAGCAAAGGGAAGAACAGCCAATCCACTCTAATTTACATTTAACCTTTCAGGCAGTAAAAAGGACAGATAGGAATGAAGAAATAGAACAATATCTGAGGGATCTGCACTGCTACCCACGGAGAGAAGAAGATTTAGGCAAGGGAGATGATTAATCAACCAGACATACCAGATAATTTGTTGATGAATCAGAACCAAAGCTGCAATAAGGTAATGATGTTACATGTATTAGATTAGAAAAGCATCATCACAAGGAGCAAACAGAATTCCATACAAAGTTTGTTTGCTACCCAACAGATACATATATATTGCTGTGTAGAAAGGAGTGCTAATATAACAAATTATCAAGGAGGCAAAATAGATTAAAAGAGAACTTGCAGTCATCGGTCATAACTAGCCAATGCTTATGGATCTATGCCTCATAAACTAGTCCAAGGTATACTACAGTAATACCATATACCAGAGAAGATACGGATGCAGCTTAAGAGACTCTGACAGGCTGCAACTAAGGTTCACCATTGAAGACCACAAATCGCGACAACGCTTGGAGGTTAGAATCTTCACAGGCTGGACAGTTTCAGTAATCTTGTTCTTAGCGGGTGTGCTCATTAGGTGAAGTTGATGAAAAAGATAAGTAGGGGTCCTTGGATGAAGGGAGGAGTAAGACAATCCCCAGTTAGAGTGTTTATGGAAGATATGGCAGTCAACAAGAAGACCCTATCAAAGCAAGATAGACGTTGAAGGAGATTTAGGACAATATCAACAGGGCCCATGTGAATATCAAGCCAACAAAATCTAGGGCCTTAGCATTGAAAAGGGAAAATTGAGCAGAAAGAAGTTCAAAGTAGGAAACAGATTATTCAATCAGTCTCAGAAAAAAACCGATTAAATGCTGCTTTGGAAAGTTTTTTGATGACACTCTGTGGGATAAACAGAATGAGAGTGATACCAGCAAGCATTTGAAATCTGAATGAACATCATAGACAAAAGTTCTTTTCTAAAAAAATAAAAGGCATGGATCACCAGCATGGTTGTTTTTCCACTAGTTCTATTGCCTCTACTTGTACACGATGTACCATTGTCAACAATGGAGGTAAAGGATAGGTTGGACAGGGGTTTCCTAAAGATATTTTTTGGAGTTCCCTGTAGCTTCAGTAGCGTTGGTTTGTACATCACAGGAGCCAAGCAGTTACCATTGATATCAATCATAGGGGAATTTAGGGTCAACAAGGTCAGACAGTTCCTGATGCAGAGAGACAGCAAATATATCAAGGCACGAGATGCAAGAGTGATCATAAAGACTGACAGAAAATGGTCAGTCAAGATAACTGTGCAAAAGACAGAATCCCGGTGGAGGCATGATGGTTCCAAGGGTAACGCAGCGATAGACTGACATGGATTTGGCGTAGCATCAACAGTGAGATGGGGAAAGAGAAGTTGGTACAAAAGGAGGTTTGTAAAATGAAGGGGCATACAAGAACTGTGAAGGCAATCATCATGAAAAAGCAGGGTAGTTGGTTTAACTGGGTGGAATTATATCAGGACCAAAGAGCTTTAACAAATTGCAGTTCCAGCTGAAGTCCGTTTACGAAGTGTTGCCCACTAATACCAGTTTGGGAACATGGGGCATGAGGGATGACCCAGGCTGCAAACTTTGTAATAGACGAAGACAAATAAGAACACATCCTGTCTTCAACTCCAGTAGCTTTGTCAGATGGAAGATACACGAGAAGGTTCTATCTGTTCTTGCAGATGCGTTAAAAGAGGAAGGCGGCCAAAGGAGGTGTAAAGTTTGTCATCTTTGTGAGGGCTGGAGAGCAGAATGCTGGCGATAGAGTTAAATCAAGAGGAATGTTGGGTACCACCATTGAGTGGTAGTTAAAAGCAGATCTTAATGGTGAAAAGCATTTCCCACAAAGAATAGCAACAGACAGAGACAAGATATTGTCATGTAGTGTTCATCTTCTAGACAGGTTATTTTGCTAAAACTGACTTTGGGGGGATAGAAGAAGCCTAAAAGAGGAAGCTGAACAAATTCAGGTTTAGTTAAAAGTGGCGCCTTTTAGTGGTGGACGGATGCTGAGGATGTTGTGTCAATCAATGTGGAAGACCTTGCGGGTAATTGGAGAACCTGAAACAGAGAGACGCCAACTCATCACACCTCTGGACAGGGAAGCGGAAATGACATCCATGTGGGTAAAGAAAAAGCGCGAAGAACAGTGAAAAAGTAGCATTTTGTGCATAGAAACTATTGTAACCATAACAAGTGTGTTGCATCAGAGACTTCATAAACAAGTGCGGGGAGCCGAGTGGTTCCGGGCTCGGACTTAAACAAATAATCAGAATAAGAAGCCCAAGTAAGTATCAAATTTTAAGAGGAGTGCTAGTAATAGCAACATCGAACAACAAAATTATAAAACAGGCTGTAGAATTTCTACCTTGGGGTTTTATATCATGTTCCAAATATTTGAATCAGGCCAAAACTGTATGAAGAGTATAGAGTTTTGAAGTATTTTGAAAGTTTTTTCCCTTTATTTTCGGTAACCATGACGATATCCTCTATCAAAATTCGAAATCGTTAAATAGATTTTTTTTATCATGGATGTACCACGTTTTCTTACTTCAAGGAACAGCGTTTAAGGCATGTTACTAAAAAAAACTTTACTAAACAAATACAACATGTACATGTAGTGGTCTATTCCTTTAAAATGAATCTGGAATAAAACACTTGATGATCGTGTGCTGCAATTTACAAGTACGCAATGCAAAGAATTGTTTTCCTGTCTTAAGCCAATCGTTTACGTATATTGTAGTTTTAACATAGGTAACAAAGATTACAGAGCTCACCTCAACGAATGTTGTCTTTAAGTAAGGCAAAGACCCACACTAAACTAATAATCTAGTTGTGTGCATCCCTAGATGCAACATTTATGCAATTTTGATCTGATAGGGCCTACAGTTACTTGGGGATGGACTTATCTAAAAACTTTAAACTAGTCACTCATCCAGAAAATGTAAGTCAAGTCCAGCATCTAAAGCAAGTTTGAGAGTGTTCATCCCTTGATGCATCATCCATGCAATTTTGGTTCAGATAGGCCTTATAGTTTCTTGGTATTGGACCTGCTCCAACAACTTCTGGAAAATGTAGGTCAGATCCAGCATCAGAAGCATCAGTCCCCTAGTGTGCAGTTACTTGGAAATGAGATCTGCTCCAAAATGTTTTTTTTTAAATCTTGTGTATAATTGTAAAGGAAAAAAAAGTGTCATAATATTAAAATGCTTAATAATCAAGATACAATGAAATATATAAATTTATCAATTAAAGAAGTTGGTACTCTTGCAAAATCAGCTTGCGTGGATTTGATTTCTTTTCAAGCAATGAGTATCACAGGAGAAATGGTTTCCTTAATCGTCTATTTCCACAATACAGTCCTGCTATCAGTTTCTTGATACCAAAAAATAAGACATTTTCATAGTAAAGATGTCACTTTACTTGATTAAGAAATTCTTTTGAACGCCCTCAAAACCTGCAAGATTGAAGATTGATTGATTGATTGTATGTTGTTTTACGTCCCATTCGAGAATTTTTCACTATATAGAGACGTCACCATATACCTTTGAAGGGCTTCAAATTTTGACCTTTACTCGGCACTCAGGGCCATTGAGCAGTGAGGGATCTTTATCGTGCTAACGCCTGCCGTGTATTTAAGGTCTCATCCGAAGGACCCGCAAGTGCCGAGCGTATGGCGAAGGAACAGTTGCTACCCATTTTTTATCTACTTAGGTCAGATTCGAACTCACGACCTCCCGATCACGAAGCGAGCGCTCTACCGACTGATTTACAGTAAACGGTAGGAGATTTTAGAAAAATGATTTTGTTTACAGGTAAAATTGGCCATCCCGTAACGACAAGAATTTAAAGCATTTTCTCTTCCATAGCAGATGATGTAGTGCCCGATGATTGCATTTTATAGAATTTCGTGGGAAATAAATTGACAACTTCTGTAGTAAAATATCAAGAATTTTGTATAATTTAAGTAAGGTCGTTTAAGGAAAGTAAGTCCAAAAGTAACGCACGCATGTGTACAGTTCAATGGCCACCAACTATTTTTTTTTGGCAGAGTGTTAACACGAATATCAGAAAGCATTTTTTTTTTACGTTTATAACATATAATACTATAATACTTTTTTACACGATATACTTTCGTATAGATTTGATTTAATAATACCGAAATTAATTTACGTGACTTGTTTTATTTATTTGTCCTCGTCATTTGCACAGGAAAGTCATTCTGAAATCATGCACTATTTTTGGGGTAATATTTCCTCAAAATATTAAAAAATCTATTGATGCTTACAAAAACGAGAAGACACACTGAGACAAGAGGCGCCATAACACACGAGGAAAGGAGGAAGGAGGCTCAAATTCAAGAAATATGGATCCTCAAATGTTCCGTGTATTCATCAAGGAGGGGGTGTAACAACGTCTATGAAAGCCAATTACATGTATAAGATTTAATTTTACTCTTAAATCAATTTACTTCAGGAGCTTCCGGGGGCTTCGTTCCCTTGCCCTGGACTAACTGAGGGCCGAATCGCGCGGCCCCAGACCCCGTGTCTCTGGGGAAAAAATCAAGCCCCCCAATCTAAAATACATGGATCCTCCCCTGCGAGTGGGGTATGTTTTATGACAGAGGGACGTTAAATTACTTGGAACTAATGAAATGCCATGCTTTTAAATCCTTGTTAAAACAAGCTTTATAGTAGAATCCTTAGTAGGATTTCCCCCACTGCATTATGGCTTCGGATTGTAACATTTTGATAATGGAGAGACAGAAATTCCTAAATTATCAACAATTTTGAAACAGGTGAGCTATCGAAATGATTACGTTCTTCGAATTTAATTACATAGGTATTACATACTTTTAAGGTTTTTTTCATTTTAAAATAAAGTATCATTTATTTTTAATATCCAGATTTTCTAGATAAAAGAATAAGATATTGACGGCACCTTCTATGATAGTTTTTCCTCAAATACACACAGGTGGAAAACTACAAATCTCGAGAATACGCCTAAATCAGCTTGATCTGACTGTAATGTTCTTAAATGGTTAGGTATTTTGAAGGGAAAAAAGTATTATTTTTAAATCTTGATTCGACAATTTTCCCCAAAATTTTATATAATTGCCATTATTTTCCATGTATAGATTTAAATTCTTTTGTCCTCACCTGGTGGTTGGGTCGTTTTGGAAGAAAGGTACTGACAATCTGAAAGGAAAAGAATATTAGTATTCTTTACAGCTATCATAGACTGCAATGTTGTACATTTGAAATTCAACAATTTCACAACTTTCCAACACTAAACCTACACTCTGAGCATCTTTTACAGAAAAGCGAACATCTGTTGAAGAAGTCTTCAGAGGTCTTGTCGATCGGTCTATTACAGGCACCAGTAATTGAATTATAATATGAGCAAAACGACAAGTCATCCCGACACACATGCTGGGGGCTACCTGAAACAAAAGATCCATAGACCACAACGCTCACCCGAGTCACCTTGACCGCGCTGTTTTTTTAGACAATTGTTTCGCTCTTTATTCCAATAAAAAATTAACCCCATATTGTAGCCCAAACATATCCTCAAGGGGTTACGATATGACCAAAGTTGAATCCACACATTGGAATGCTTTTTTATCAATATGACTAGTATGGCTCTGCTGTCCCCCGTAGATAAGATTTTTCAAAGTTTTTCCTGTACATGTGCATTGTAAAAATGATCACAAATTTTAGCCCCACCATAAACCCAGGGTCCGAAAATAAAAAAAAAAAAAAAAGCTTCATACAACTTAGGTATGTTTGCATATCATTAGAGTGGTTCTGTTACTCTTGAAAATATTTGTTTTCACAAATTACCTTGTAATACTCTGATACCCTCTGGGTACTCCACCCTAACCATGGGTGCCATGATATGATGAAAATTTAATCTACACTACCTCAGGATGTTCCCTTATTAATGTGATTAATTCTTGAGAAGAAGACTTTTAAAAAGATTTTTGATATATATTCATCCCCTTTTGTGGCCCCACCCTACCCCCAGGGGCAAGATTTGAATAAATTTGAATCTACGCTACCTGAGGATGCTTCCCTATTAACTTGTGTAATCCTAGCCCTGCTGTTCTTTAGAAGGAATTTTTATAGATTTTTTTTCTCTCTATATATATATTCCCATGTTTAATTTTGATCCCCTGTTGTGGTCCTACACTACCGGTGGGGGCCATGATTTAAATAATTTGAATCTAGACTACCTGAAGATGCCTCCATATTAATATGACTAATCATGGCTCTTCTGTTCTTGAGAAGATGATTTTTAAAGATTTCCCCCATATATTCCCCTGTAAACTTTGAACCCCTATTATGGCCCTAGCCCTCCCCCATAATTTGAACAAACTTCAATCTACACTATGTCAGAAAGTTTTCAAAGAAGTTTCTTTCTTTTTTTTTTTTGCCGTGTGGTTCTGGTGAAGAAAATTTTTAAAAGATGCCACCAATTTTTTGACTTGTTCTTAACTTAATTATCTCGCCTCGAAAGAAGACATGGTTCTTCATTTGAACAAAGTTGAAGGTGTGACAAGTTTGTTTTAAATTGACCCATTGGTTATGGAGAACAAGTCGAAAATGTAAAGTTTAAAGACGACACATGACAAACGGAGCCTGACACCCCTCGAAATGCGAAAGGCTCAAGTGAGCTAAAAAGGATTACAGTGATTATAAAATACCCTCAGAGTACTAGTATGTTATTCTCAAAATGTAATGAGCTACACAATAGTCTGGTGAAACACATTTATCTCATTATGTTTATCAATAAAATAGCATTCAGGATATTTCAGTGAGTAGTCTTAATTATTCAGGTCTTGTATAAACGATGCGCCTTGTTATGAAATTTTGAGACATAATATATCTTAGATCTATTTTCTTTCAGCAATTATTGTCTTAATAATATATTTAGAAAAAAGGTTGATTGATTATTGTTGCTTTACACCAAGTTGGCAATATTTCATCCATATTTCGGCGGTTAAAAAAAAATAATAATAGAGATGCTGTTGGATTTACATGACACCATTGCATGCTTTACTATCTTGTATCGCAAGTTTTACCTACAAATCTTACACATAAGCTATGTTTGATAGAGAAACAGAACAATTAAATTAACTGATCACCACATACTCGGGCAGGTTACAACTGTTTGTGTTGTAGTATTTGTAACTGTAGAAGGTTTAGTAGTTGTAGCTGTGCTAGGCATTGCTGTACTAGTTACTGTTGTGGAAGGTGTGTTTGTTGATGTACTAGGAGCTGTTGTAGTGGTTGTTGTCGGTTTTGGTGTCGTTGTTGTTGGTATTGGTGTTGTTGTCGGCATTGGTGTTGTTGTTGGTGTTGTTGTTGTTGGCATTGGTGTTGTTGTTGTTGATGTTGTAGACATTGTTGTTGTTGTTGGCTTTTGCGTTGTTGTTGTTGTTGGTTTTGGTGTTGTTGTTGGTTTTGGTGTTGTTGTTGTTGTTGGTTTTGGTGTTGTTGTTGGTTTTGGTGTTGTTGTTGTTGGTTTTGGTGTTGTTGGTGTTGTTGGTGTTGGTGTTGTTGTTGTTGTTGGTTTTGGTGTTGTTGTTGGTTTTGGTGTTGTTGTTGTTGTTGAGGTGGTGGTAGTTGTTATATAACTAAGAATATTATTCACCAAATCCATTTCTGTGAAAGTGAATGTACATGTGCAGAAAAATAGATTACAAATTATTTTATTTTTTGATTTTGCCCAAGAGAAGGATTCATAGGAGAATTCATATAAAATGAATACCTGTCGAAGTCATGTTGTTACAGAAATCTGTTCTGCAGGTCTTAAATAACAAGATGACCACTTAAAATCATTAGTTATTTTAATTAACTAATCAAAAAAATTATTTGATGAGTCAATTGAATGTCTTATTTCTCTGAATGAATGTAAGGAAAGCGATGGATGCAGCAGTCTGGATTAAACTTTACAACTAGATGCGTTAGTTAAGGTAAAAATAATTACATTGTGTTACATTAAAGATGTATTTTTTCGTTTCACTGAATACCTGGTGGTTTGCGTGGTTTTTTGAGTTGTAACATCCTCTTTCATAGGCGTCTGAGTGACGTGAATTAGAGCACATCTGAAAAAGATTTTTTTAAAAAAAGTCGTATAACCAGTTGCCATAGATCCTTCTCTAAGAGATTTACAATTGCTCATCAGAATCCGTTTTCTTGGGATAACGATTTTCAACTTAACCTTATCTAATGAATCAATACATGACACAAATCTATAAATTATTTATAACTGTAATGAATACGATAAAACATGTATCCCAAATCATAAAAAGACATGACAAAAAATTAAACATCTTTTTTTTCAACTCCCCTTCAACAAAAATTGAATTTTAAAAGTTTCGAGAACTTAGATGATGAGGCAAAGACCATACCACACAGTGAAGTTTAAGTAACACTACAATGCAAGCTTTGGACAAGTTATAAGTTCTGTAGATCTACATATATGTCTTCTACCGACAGAAATATGTACCGTTCCTGGTTTACAGATGGTGATGACGTGAGATGTTTTGTTGAAATAGTCCTCATCATAATGTTTGCTATACTCAGAGTAGAAACAGGCCACTAGAGACGTCGTCCGTAAGATGTCTAGGTAAGGAGCAACTGGGAACAAAAAAGAGTATATATATATATATATATATATATATATATATATATATATATATATATATATATATATATATATATATATATGTTTTTGGGGGTTTTTTAATCTTCTTTCAATGAAAGATTAAAAAAATGGCAATTTCTGATATATTACTAGAACAAATTAATTCAGAAAAATTAAAGCATGAAAAAGTTTGCTATAGCGCAATTCTTTTAAAGCAAAACTTAAATACTAAGAGTACCACTTGATACTGAAGTGAAATTTCGGGGTTTTTTTGTTTGTTTTTTTTTTTTGGTCAAATACATACGGTGGTGTGGTTCTATATGCTCCAGATCTAAAAAAAAAAAAAAAAACCCAAAGTATTTAAAGTTTTCTTTTAAATACTAGTAAATGAGGTTACTAATTCAAACGTAAAAGGTCAGAAAAATTGATTTAGAGTGCTTACTCACTTATCCGGCAGTCTGGGTTTATCTCTGGTGCTGAAAGAAAATTTAAAAAATTAAACCATTAAAAGAAAATTTCATTAAATTGTACAGTTCTATTTTGTGAGATTTTTAAATCATTTCTTTATACATGTATACAGCCCATGTTTCAACATTCCATGAAAATCAGAAGATGCATAAGAAATTTCATAAGAAATTCTGTTTTCTAGACTACTTTATTTATCATAGTAAATACTAGTAAGTGATTTTTTTTCACAAGAACACCAACTATTAATTTATTGGAGTATATCAATTGGCGTATATTATACTATAATAAAATAACATTCATACCGCAGTGCGAACAATCCAGCGTATTGGTTTTAGCTAAAAACAAAACAAAACTAAACAAAAATTTTAAAAAGACAAAGAATAACAGACCCCATGATGCACAAAATTTACATACTCAACTCATAAAACCAAAGACTGTCTTTTTGAAAATAATTTTTCTATACCTTTTTGAAATATGTCATTGCATGAAATGGCACCCAGCACAGGACTTGTAATTGAGACTAGGATACAAACAAAACACAGGCCATCATTGTAGTGAAATCATAGATAACAAGATCAGATTGAATCAATTATGAAATTAGAACAGATATTAATATATTGTAATTATAGAAATAAATGTAGATTTCTTACCTAGTGTAATTAGGAATAGAACGAGAAACATCATTATCGGATTGAAATACAGGATCCTCTGGTTTCTGGTATTGTCATACCTAGATATTGTAATTGAACATACTTTAATCCTTATCTCATGATCAGAGATAAGGCATTTTTCTGTATATATATATATGTGTGTAAATATAAAGGAAAAGTAAGACATCCCTAGATATGCTAAAATGTAGCATGTCACCATGAACTTTCATTCAAAATATATCACTAATTATATAAATAATGGCAATTCATCTGAAATATGTGAATTTTTGGCAGGAACTCTCCATAACACATTTGCTTGTCTTATACTGTGAAAAAATCATTCAATTTATCGTTTACCAAAACATATAACTATGGTTTATATGACTCTTCTCTGAGAAGATTGTACGAAATGGAATATCAGAGACGCATATATGGCAAGTATTGCCAAGAATTCATTCTGCAGACCCATTGAAGATAGAACTGTTTGTAATGCAATGTAACTATCAGATGAAGATCAAGCACCATCAGTTTAATAAAGAAAACGACTCTCATTGATTATGCAAATCATCTGTGACTTTACGGCATGAGTACAAGTATTTCTAGGATTTGTACTTTTCATTAGCAAACATTCTCAGTCATCCTGGACATGCCCCCCCCCCCCTTTCAGGATATTCAGATAGGTAATCAATGCAATTATAATGCAATACAACTATTTATCGCCCCCAATCTCGGCATATCAACATCAGTCACCAAACTGAAGAACTCACCAGTACGTATTTTCAATATTCCCAACAACCAGATTTTTTCTGATTTACAAACACCTGCACTGGATTCCAAACATTCATAAAATTCCTTACAAAAATACACAGTGGGATCAAATATGTTTACTAAGTCTCCTTCTTTTCTCCTCATGAAAATATTAACAGCCGTGAAGAAGACACTTCTTAAGTCCTGTGCAACAGCATATTTTAGGAGTGTTCATGAAATATGAAGATAACAAACAGTATTCAATCTCGAAAGTCCAATGGAACGATACAAATTTCGAGCAGAGCAAACACGGACCTCAAAATTGAGGTAGGATCAGTTGCCTTGGAGAAGTGAGCATCCTCTGCCGACCGGTCACACCCACCGTGTGCTCCTTGTCATGATCGAGAAACAAAAACCGGAAAAAATCCGTAGACAGTTCAGTGTATAAATAATGGCCTAACAGTCAGTATGAAAAACGTCAGTCAGCATTTGACTCAATGACAAGGTCATTGTATCGACCGAAAAACTTGCGAAAAGATGACTTCAAACGAGACTGTTGATATCCTTGTTTTGTCAACTTGTTTATCAATAGCTTGCCTCGTTTTAGAAATTGTTCATGCATAGAGCATGCTCTTGCGTATCTAATCACTGAGCGACAAAAACCCCATATGCAAGTGATAAGGGTATATTGCTACATAAGTAAGGGAAGTTGATGATTGAAAAGTTGAAGTCATCACGTTTATCATAAAGCTTTGTTGTTAGGTTACCATTAACGTCTTTTTCTAGTAAAATATCTAAATATGAAACAGATGTGTCAGAATCTGTGGTATCTTTTGTTTCAAGCTCACTGGTATATATCGAGTCAACATTGAATGAAAGTAACTATTGTTAATTGATAATACGTCGTCGATATATCGAAATGTCGAGTTGAAGGCCACAGCAAGTGTTTTCTTCTTCTCATGTAGAAGTTTTGAATAAATTCTGCTTCATATGAATACAAAAATAGGTCTGCTAATAAGGGGGCGCAATTGGTACCCATGGGAATTCCAACAGGTTGTTGGAAGACCTGATCTCCAAAAACTACATAGATATTGTCAATCAGAAACTCAAGCATCTTTTTAATATCAACTTCAGAGTACTTGTGTGTACAATCAGAGTGCTTTTTAACAAAATAATTTTGTAATTGACCAATGACAAGGTAAGTGTGTTTACGAGTTCTTTTTTTATTGAAAAAGCAGCTGTCTATGATGTCAAAAAGCCTGGACTTCAATTTATCGTGGGGAATGGTTAATTTTATCAATTAATCTGGCTAATTTTATGGCCGATTTTTAAATACAATCTGTTGTTATATCGAATATTAACCGATGATTTTTTAAACAAATGTTTAAGCCATTATTATAATAATAAATTGTCTACGGATTGTTTTGTCTACCCAATCAATTAAGACAAAGGGCTCTGGGCGGGTGTGACCGGTCGACAGGGGATGCTTACTCCTGCATGGCACCTGATCCTAGCTCTGATGTTTTCAGGGATCAATGCTTGCTCTGCTCTCAATTCGTAAATAACTACATGTATTTGGACTGTTGAGCTTGATTACTGTTCGTTACCTTCATATTTCATCCATCATGCGTATGGATTTGATTCCAACTATGCGTATTTAGAACATCCTTTGCTTCCAAGCCCAGGTATTGGTTTCTCTGTACCCTTAGTCTTGATTGGTAAGGAATTGAGAAAACAGTAGATTAATTATATAGTTTTCTTAGATACCTGTAGACCGTACATCAAGTACAAAATTAATATATTTCTGTTTTGTTTTGTTTTTTTTAATTTTGTACTTGATCGATGTACAAATTCTGAATGGAAATTAAATCTATATATGAAGTTTTGATCTCCAGAGTTCACAAGTTGACAAAAGATGGTTCTTAGCGATTAAAATGTCTTTAAATCTCTTAGATGACATCATCTGAAAGTTTTGAAAGGGCATGGCCTTTATACACCCTTAAAAAGAACACCGGACACATTTGTTTCCTTATTCGGGCCAGACGTCGAATCGACAGTAAATCTTCCATCCTCGGAAAAGCTGTATCCTATTCATTATTCCTGTTTAAGGAGGGATTCTTGTCTGGTTCCTGACTAGAGGAAATATTCGAAGTACATTTGCTTATATGTCTTATATATTTACATGTAAGTGATTTAAAAAAATCATATTTTTCTTTCCTCATCATAATTTTACAACTTTAAATAGAAATGGTAAACTGAGTTTGAAATCTAGCAGGGACTATATTTTTGGCGGAACGACGCCGTATAAAAAAATCTCCTTTTCTGCTTCTCAAAATTACTATAGAACAATGAATTTAATTAAAATTTTCAAACAATCACAGATTTTTTTTAAAAATTCAAATGAAAGTAAAATTAATAATAATAGACTGAAGTTTTAAGATATATCAAATAAATATGACTTTACAAACAAACTACAATTTTATTAGCTTTTAAAAGCTTTCAATATAAGTAAAGATTTGAGCAAAAAATCTGTAAAAGTGTTTTTTCTCCCTTAGTAAATGGTCAGCACTTTTTGTTTTCGTATCAGTTTTATCCTTATATGTCTGCTTTACCATATGTAAAAATAAGAAAAATTTAAATATACGAAGCATATAAAAATGACTAAAGAAATTTAAGAAAAATTGAGGAAATTCGGATTATCCAATATCTATTTTAGTTAATTTGTTCAAATGTCAGTTTGGTAGTATCATCTAAAAGACCCTATATGGTAGTATCTTTTTAAGCCAAAAGAAAAACATTTTAACTTTTGAAATAGAAGTAGGCATCGCATGACTGGAAACAGTATTTTCTTTATTGTTAAAGTGAAGGAAAAAGATACGACCTTGATCTGACCTTGGTTCTAAAATAAAACGGTCAAATTTAATCTTACTGATACCATCACTTAGTGATTAGGTCTTCTTGATTCTATGAAAATTTCATCAATTTTTAAATACAAGAAATATGAGAAGAATCCTTCCTTAAACCCAATAAAAACACAATCTTTACGCTTATCATTTATACTACATAAGAGTCGCCATTAATGTCAGCAACATTGAGGGTTGGATCCTTAATTTTTATCTATTTAAATTGAAAAGAATATTTATGATATTTAATCACCAGCTTAATTTATTTTGACATGGGGTTTCCTAGATCGACCCGGTTCATGTTTTGGTATAGGGAGAGCAACAGGGATAGGACTCAATACACCCTCAAACCTCGAAATTCATGCGAGATTTAAAATTTAAAACAAAATAGTCAACATCTCCCCCCCCCCCTTCCAAAAAAAAAATAACACATGAAAATGGTCTATTCAGAGAAAATGTGTTTATATAAAGTTGATAATTATTGATTTAAAGTATAATATTTAATCAATTAAAAACTTGCAATTTGAGAGTCCACCTCTCAACACTTCTATCATTAATTGTCTTGCATTACTCAAGCGAGTATTACGGAAAGGTGTAAATTGCACTTTTAACGAGTTTACCCAAAATCTGAACCGGGTGAGGTTTCTTGGCATGAATAATATTTGTAAGCATAAAGTAACAAACTATTATTTAAAGAATTTATTTCAAACTTAGTTGAATATATTGTTAATCCTCCTAGATATGTTGCAAATGTGTGCATCAACGCCAACCAATCACATTACCTTAAAATGAAAGTATTTTACTCTTTATAACACTAATCAGACCTATTGACAACTATTGCAAAAATTGAGATTCTAACTTTTTTCTCATTAATATATTATAATAATTCTTATCATAACCATGAGAAAAAAAAACATAGCTATAAATATATAGCTATGTTATATATATATATATATATATATATATATATATATATATATATATATATATATATATATATATATATATATATATATATAAATATATATATATATATATATAAGCTATAAATATGCGAACTTTTTAACTAAGAAAAATGATTCCATTTTATAAACAATTATTCCGAAAAAAAATTATAAAAATAATATACTAAACAGGTAATTCGAAATTGCCAGTAAAATCGGCATCACTGGGAGGTAGGGTGGTGGAGGGTATTTAAGTTGCTTTCGTATTTACCTTCAAGGGGAGTACCAGTACCTGTAACAAAGAGACAATCTAAAACTAAAAATAATAAAAATAGAGGCCCAAAGGCCACATAACTCACCCGGAACTGCTGTTCTTCTTCGGAAGGTATAGTTTAAATTTTAAGACTTCAAAAAAAAAAAAAAAAAAACCCACTTTTGAATCAGTACAAAGGGATTCTATATGCCAAATTGACTAATGTGAACTTGCTGGAGACGTATAGAAATTAATGTTTTGTAAAAGACATGCTACAGTAAAACTTGTGTTATCCGAATGATATTTTTTTCCGAAATCCTGCATATTATGATGAAACGTTTAGTTCCTTTCAGTAAATTTAGGAGGCAGTCCACCAAAAAACCAGGCAATGGGTGGCACATCGAATGTCATGGAATATAATAGTTTTTTTTGCATGCAGACTATTTGAAGCAAGTGTTTACACATGGCGACATCAAAAATATTTTTAATGTTCCTCTAGTTTTAGTTTTGGTACGTGCTTAATTTAAGTGCAAAAAGATGAACATGGTGGTTAAAAATTTACTACGTTTTTGTTTCGTTTTATATGAAACAGATCCTCAAAAACTAGATATGTCGATTATTATTATTTATAGTTTAATCCCTTATCTTTTATTATATCAATGAATAAGAAAACTATTAATAATTCTTTGGATAAAATTAGGTGGTCTAAAACTGGGTTAATCAAGTGACGTCATGAATTCATTATCCAATAAGGTTTTCCATCCCTAATAAGACTTAATTCTCTATCCTTAAATATCCACCAAGTATATAATATTCTGATATTAATTCAAAGCATTTTACAGTAGAAAAGAATTTACCAAGAGAAAGCTTCAAAAATGTAATTAATTAAGCAGTAATTAATTAACAGAATTTGCATTGAAATCTATGGAGACAACAGATTTTTTTAAAATAAAAATTCAAATAATAAGAATATCAATAAATACTGTGGTGGAAAGATGCATTAAATTATTAGAAAAAGAATGACAATTGAAAACAATTTTTTTACCCTATAGATTTTTTAAAATTGATTTTTATTACTAAAAAAGGGAGATAACTCTTCAACAAAGGTCAAGGTCATAAATTAGGACACTTCCATTCTTACATGCTAATAGTAATAAATGGGAATTATATAAAGAAGAAAGCTACTATAATTTCATCGTAAATTCGGTTGTTTTGTTGCATTATTATCTTTACTTATAAATTAATACATTTTGCAAATAAACTCCGAAACGGGTGCACGAGAGTTCTTACTAACACCTCTACGAATAAACTAGATACAAGATGATGTCCGTAAACTATATTCAGATTTCACTTGCATAGTAAGTATCGTTCATTAAATTAAAAGTCTACTTTCATTTTCTATTAACAGCCATGAAATAGCAAAAACGTGAGTACGGTGGCGGTTCCGGTTGGCGGATCTAAGTTACTGGCAATTTTTAATGAAACTGACAACAAGCAATCGTTTATTTATTTCATAAAACGTTATACTGAATTATTCAATCAAAACTTGATTTCAATGATATAAAAGAAATAAGTTGTGATAACCGATTAAAAAGGGAAATGTTCAAATTATTTTCGTCATTCACCGATCTAAATATTGACGGAAACTTCTAGAACATATAGCATCGAGCCCGATGTTAAGAAAAACGAGGCGGTTATAGCTGCATGAGCATAAAAAAGCTTTTGTGTGAATGAGTCATTGAAATAATGGTAAATCATTGATAACACTATTAGTTGTGAATATATTTATATATCGAAAGACTATTAGTAGGTTTTATCTGTAAAATTTGTATATTCCTCACTGAGAGCATAGTGACAACGAACAAGAAGTACAATTTGTACTTCGTAATAAATTTGCCTACATGAAAGGAGAAAATTAATGAATAAGGTATTGTTCAAATACAATTAAAGCTGTTAAAATTTTGTGCTTTAATCAGTACATTTCAGTTTTCTTTCCCCTGAATAGTCTTTTGTATCAATTACTCGGCCTATTCATATATATAGGGCGTGAAAAGCTATTGTTTACAAAAATCAATCAATCAATTTATCATTAAAATGTGCATATTCGCTGCTTTTATCCTTGACGGAAATGAAATAAGAGCACCTGAAGTACAATATCCATAACATAGTATAACGGGTTTCACAATAAATGTCAATTAATGAAATTGTTATTTTTGAAGTTTTTACAAATGGTGACGTACATCTACTTCTGCTCCAAAGCTAAATGCGGGATTTTGAACAAAGTATTTCTTCCTGCTATAAGCCTGTAGGCTGTCAGTAGAAACTACAATATATAATATTGGAATTTTTCTGTCGGTAGTGGTATAAATTCAATCCCTCGCGCTTGCGCGGGATTTCATCTAGTTATTTACAAATTACTTGATTATATTTTTTAAAAATATTTTCTCGGTGACAACTGCATTTTGTTTGATAACCTGTTAATTTTGCATTAATTTCGATCGGGATTAAATTTTTAAAATGTCTAATCCGGCAAAATTCTATTGAACTAGTGGTGTCCGGATTAGGCAAGTTTCACTGTATAAAGGCTAAGTCATCTCGAGAATACTTTGAACCGAATGCACTTACATCAGAAAACTGATATGTTCCAAATGGCTATGCTTGTGCAAGCTAGGCTCAAAAACAAAAAATAAATGGTGATATCTTTGAATCTTAATTCATCAAATTACATGTAAAAAAAAAAAAAAGATATTGTTTTAAAACACACAGAAAGATCTTAAATCTTTTGCTCTTACCTGGAGATTGGGTGGTTTTAATGGAAATATATTGACAATCTGAAAAAAAAAACCAGAAAAAAGGACAATATTCTTTATCGGCCAACATTAGTCTGCGATATGGTGAATTTGAAATTCAGTATAATATTACAACTTTTCAACACTAAACCTACACTCTGAGCATCTTTTACAGAAAAGCGAACATCTGTTGAAGAAGTCTTCAGAGGTCTTGTCGATCGGTCTATTACAGGCACCAGTCATTGAATTATAATATGAACAAAACGACAAGTCATCCAGACACACATGCTGGGGATTATCTACAAAAAGGTATGTAGTTAGCACCAAATAGGCAAATACCTCGTACCATCAGAATAAAGTGTTTATAAAGAAGAAGCAAAAGAACCACAACGCTCACCGGAGTTACCCTGACCCTGTAATTTTTGTAAGATTTTTAACCATCTTTATTCCCATTAAAAGTTTTGGTTTCATATTGAGGCCCCACCCTGCCCAATCGGATGATTACCCAATCGAATTTGAATTCATACAACATGAGGATACTTCAATATCAGTATGACTAACTCTTTGCTGTGTTGGAAAAATTAATAATTTTGAAGATTTTTTCCCTGAATACATACTTTATTAGAACATGATCCCCGATTTTAGTCCCATCTTAACTTTAGGTCCATGAAAACTTGAATCCACACAACTTGGAAATGTTTCTATATCAATACGGTTAGTGTAAATCATATATGGTACCAATTTTGATGCACCAGATGCGCATTTCGACAAATTCTGTGTCTTCAGTGATGCTCAAGCCGAAAGGTTGGGAATCCAAAATATTTAAATAAAAAGAATTGGAAGAGCTGAAAAAAGGTGCCAAAGACTGGAGCCAAATACGTCAAAGGATCAGAGCTATGCATAAGCTATGCGAAAGGTTGGGAATCCAAAATATTTAAATAACTACTTATCTTGAAAAATATATACATTCTCATGGAAAAATGTTATCCCTATTGTCGCTCAATCATACCTCCAGTGCCCATGCTTGAACAAACTTGATTCAATACTTAGTATCGAAACTTTCAGATAAGTTTCATCTTTTCTGACCAAGTGATTATTGAAAACGAAGATTTTTAAATTATCTTCCATTATATTTTCTGCTTTCTTAGTGACTACCCTTGGAAGGGGCATGAACCTTCATTTGAAGATAAATTAAACTCTAACTAGGGAGACAGTTGAATATTCTGTGCCAAGTTTGATTGAAATTGGCTCGATCGATCAGTGCTTCTGGAGAAGTTAAAAATATATAATGTGAACAGACGGACAGACGACAGATAAATATCGATCTGTAAGCTCATTTGAGCCTTTGGCTCAGGTGAATTAATGATAGAAAGAAAAAAAACAAACTTTAGTTTGCGTTGGGGATTAAGCCCCTCCCCCTAAATCCGACTACTATACCATTTCTTAAAAATGAATCAAGAACTTCGGACATTCTCAGAAAAGCTAGAAAGTGATAAATATTTAGGTAGCAAGTATTCTACATTCAAATTGACATGTACTTTGAATGTATTTTATCTTCTCCAGGATTAATTGAAAATAAATTAAATTTATATACTCTGCTTGTGGTTATTTATTAACAATCAAAGTATAAAAACAGACAGCAGAGAGTTAATTCATTCTTTGTTAAATCACATACTTGGACAATTAACAGTAGTTGTTTCAACTGTTGTTGGCGTAAATCTAAGAATCTCATTCACCAACACCATTTCTGTCAAAGTTAAATATAAATAATGTACGAGTATATATAATAATTGATAGAGATTATAAAAGTATAGAATAAAGCTTATCAATAATAATACCTGTCGAAGTCATGTTGTTACAGAAGTCTCCTCTGCAGGTCTTTAAATACAATATAAACACTTAAAATCATTAGCAATACTCATCTTTTGATTGTTTAAAATTATCATAAATGTTTCTGATGAATCATTGAATTCCTTCTATCTCTGTATGAATGCTTAGTGTGGATTACAGATTTGAAAGAATGGTGTTTTGCGTTTTTCAAGGTAAAAATATTACGACTACTTTTTTTCTACCTGGTGGTGAACGTGATTTTTTGAGTTGTAGCAGCCTCTTTCATAGCTGTCCGAGTGTTGTGAATTCGAGCACATCTAAAAATGTGTTTCAAAACTTAAGAAAAGGAAAACCTATTTCTTTACATATATGTCATTCTATCTTAAAGATTTATGAGTGTTAGAAACCATGTTTTCATACATGTTACGAACTCTGATCTTGCTGAAGCAAATACATAGTCAAACTTTTCTCTATATACTAAAATTTATTTTTATTAAATTGAGCTATAAATCCATTTAGGATAGTGACTTCCTTAAGTATGAAAAAGATAAGAAAAAAATTAAACGTTTTTTTTTTTTCTTTTACCCCTGGTAATCAAAAGCTAATGTTCGAAAACCAAAACTCTAGAGAGCTTGCAAAAGACTGTAAATTCAAAGAACGATACAAAATAAACATTACATAGGTTGTGTTTTAAGAGATTTCCAGATCTTGAACTAAAGTCTATATATATATGTCTTCTACAGACAGAAATAAACCTACCGTTCCTGGTTTACAGATGGTGATGACGTGAGATGTTTTGTTGAAATAGTCCTCATCATAATGTTTGCTATACTCAGAGTAGAAACAGGCCATGAGAGACGTCGTCCGCAAGATGTCTAGGTATGGAGCAACTGGGACCAAAAAGAGCAGTTTTATATTTATATCATTATATGTCTTGTCTGTATCACCGAATAAGGAAAATATCAGTAACTAGTATAGAAACTATGGCATGTCAAACGTTGCAATATTCGATCTTTCCAATTTGTATTGTTTAATTTCACTTGTTTTGAATAATTTTTCATTCGTATTGTATAATTGTTATCTGTATTTTATTATTTTCTTTTTTATTCTATTATTTCCTATTAGTATTCTATATTTTTTTTTATTTGTATTATTTTTATTTGTATTTTATGATTTTCCATTCGTGTTGTAAAATTTTCTAATTGTATTGTATGATTTTTATTTGTATAGTATAATTTTCCATTGTTTTGTTTAATTTTCCATTTGTATTGTATCATTTTTATTTGTATTTTATAATTTTCCATTTGTAAAAATTGTATAATATTTATTTATATTCTATAACTTTCCATTTGTAGTCTGTAATTTTCCATTTGTATTGTATTTTTTTACCTGGATATTTATACAATGCAAATTGAAAATTACACAATACAAATGGAAAAGATCAAATATGCAACGCTCGACTTGGCATAAGAAACAACAACAACAATGACATTAATTAAGAAAGTCAAAATCCTGGGAAATTGAAAGAAAACTATTACCACTTGGGAGTTTTTTTTTCAATATACATTCGTTGTTTTGTCATCTACTTACGGTGGTGTGGTTCTATGTGCTGCAAATCTATAAAAATACAATGTATTTGAAGTTTAGAAACAAATATAAATATGGTTACTTATTCAAAAATAAAATGTCAGAAAAAATAAAAAAGCTATTTAGAGTGCTTACTCACTTATCCGGCATCCTGGATTTATCTCAGGTGCTGAAAAGAAATTATAGAAAATAAAATTTAGAAAGAAAATGTCATTAAAATGTACATATAGTCTTATGCTTTCAGATTTTTAAGTTCAATACATGAATTTCGTTATCTACAAATCATGCTTCAACATTCCAAGAAAACATATATAGTACCATTTCATATATCAAGGTAAATGACCTTTTATAAATAAAGTCTACTCAAGTATATATTAATACTTTAAAATGACTTTCTCACCGCACTGTGAACAATCCAGTGTGTTGGTTTTAGCTAAAACAAAAGGCAAATACTGTAGAACTTTTCTTGCGAACACAATTTCGGTGAGTTATGATCTACATGTATAAAGTTTTGACAGGAAGATAATTTTGTCGTTTAAATAATAATCATATTAAAATATTTCTGGGGAAAAAGTCCGTTAGTGATTTAAGATCCTTGATAAATGCTATTTTTGAATTAAGAAATTAACCCTTACGAGCATTTCTTCTTTTAAAGAAGTCAGAACATACTGCCCATAATTCAACCAAACCGTGATAATACACAAACTTACATATCACAATTTCCAACTTTCAAAACTAAATTTTCTATACCTTTTTCAAATATATCATTGCATGAAATGGTACCCAACACAGGACTTGTAATGGAGACTAGAACGAATTCAGAAACATCAGACAACATTTTTGTACAACTAAGAGAACAAGAAGATATACGCGACAAGTTTGAGCAGGGTGAGAATTGATGAGTTACATCTATCGGGTTGTCTAACATACTGTTTAGAAATTAAATTATTTACCAATTGTAATCAGGAATCCAACGAGATTCATTGATATCAGATTGTAAGGTTCTCTGCTATGTTCGGCATTGTCATACCTTATTCTATGTGAACGTACTTTAATCCTTATCTAACAATCAGCGACAGGACATGCATTTTTTGCATCAAAGTATACATGTCCGGTAAATTCGTGGACAACGTGCACTACGCTGAAATTTTCAGGAAATGTTTATTTATCATATCTTAGTACATCTTAATTTTTTTTAAAATAAAATATAGGGAAAAAATAAGGATTTTATTATATTTGAATGTGCAAAAAAATCGGGGTTTCATTAGAGAATACGCCAATATTTATTTATTATTATTAATATTATTTTCTTTGCTTTTTTTCCCTTGCATATTTGTCGTTTGCACTTCATTTGTTTACTTATTCTATTTTGTTGTTTGTTTGCACTCTTTTATTTTTTTCATTATATTGTATAGTGAGTATACATGCTAAGTAATAACTCTTGTGAATTTATTAATTTTTCTCTCCTTTTTTCCCATTTCTAGTTAACAGAAGAAATTAATGTAACTTATTATGAATTATTTCATCATGATTGTAAATCATTGTCAATTCTTAACATTTGTAACCTTGACCTTCTTGGAGAGGACTTATATAGGCCATGCCTGATGTCCAATCCAATTATGTAAACTGACTTTGCATAATAAAATATTGATTAAATTAAAAATTAATACGCCAATATCATTTCGAAATAACAGTTTTATATAGATAAGATTGGGGTAAAAGTTATCATATTTTTTTTAATTCACTAGCTATTATGTCGACAATTGGAAAATTTCGAGAATTTTTCTTAATTTTCGACAGTTTAACTGGGAAGTGTTACGCACAATACAGGAAAAATGGCTACGTTTGTTGACGCTACGGCGCATTGAAGAGCAGTTCAGATTTAAGTAGATTTAGTGAAATGCCTTTAATTACAGAATTTAAATGATAGCATAAGAAAAATAAATATTTAAAATATTATTGTATCTAAAGTATACAAGTGGAATGGGCATTTTTTAAGCGGAAACCTTTTCCTTGAGGTAGAACGAAACATACGGATTATCACAATGAAAATTTTTACTGTTTTAAGAAATTTTTCAAGTTTCTAAAATTAATTATTTTCTTTATTGAATTTACGACTTCTAATCTTTATAATTGTCATATACAAATTTAAATTGAAAACTTTTAAATTTTTGTAGAGGACAGGATGAACAGCTACTGGGAATATTAAGCGAAAGACCGTCGAAAAAAAAAGATTGGCTATTTAGTTGAACATAGCGAGAGTACAGTACCTAACTTGCTTATACAATTCTTTTGAAGGGGGTCCAGTGTGTGTGTGCCAGATTGGTTCATCGCCTGTTTAAGGAGGAATACAAAGGAATTCGAATTGTATTAGTGTGCATCAGTGAAATTCCCGAGTTTAAGAGGGGGTTATCCAATTTTTTAGCAGATGAAACGTTGCGTTGCTTAGACACTTCAAAGATGTCATCATCCATGCGCCGTAAGGCGATACCACACATAACAAAAAATCCCATATTTGTTTTTTTTGAGCATAAACTTATTTGAAATTTGCTATGTATATTGATGAAAAATAAACTCGGTATAGCGAATTCAAAAATTTGTTATAACGAATTATACTCCTTTAACGAATTCTAAAACTTGTTATAAGGAATTTAATTCGTTGCAACAAATTATTTAATTTGTTATAACGAATAAAATTCGTTTAAACGAATTCGACAATTCGTTACAACGAATTCATATATATTTTTCTATAGGCCCTAATAATTGAATTAGATTAAACGAATTTAATTCGTTAAACAAAATTTTAGAATATCTTCAAACAAATTTAATTTGTTATAACAAATTAAAATTTGTTTAAACGAATTTATTCTGTTTTAACAAATTTTTGAAATCAGTTATAACGAATTCACTAAATCTGTATAACAAATTTAATTCATTATTACGAATTCAAAAAATTGTTATAACGAACTAAATTCGTTATAACGAATTCGACAATTCGATATATCGAATTCAGAATTATTTTGTGATATGTCCTATATGGGCTTTCGTAGTCTCGATAGTTTTGTTGTCATCATACGGAAGTCCATTTAGGACCTTTCAAAAAATATTTTTGAATTCGATATTACGAATTGTCGAATTTGTTATAACGAATTTAATTCGTTATAACGAATTTAATCTGTTATAACAAATTTATTTAATTTGTTATAACAAATTAAATTCTTTATATCGAATTCTGAAACTTGTTATAACGAATTAAATTCGTTAAAACGAATTCGACAAATCGTTATATCGAATTCATACATATTTTCCTATATGCCCCGACTGTTGAATTCGATTTAACGAATTTAATTCGTTATAACAAATTTTAGAATTCGTTTAAGCGAATTTAATTCGTTATAACATTTTTTTTTAATTCGTTACAACGAATTCAACAAATTTGTTATAACATATTAAATTTGTTATAACGAATTCAAAGAAATTGTTATAACGTTTTAAATTCGTTTTAACAAATTCTACAATTCGTTATATCAAAAATATTTTTTGGATAGGTCCTAAATGGGCTTCCGTATCATTATAATGATTTGGTTTGCAACTACAATAATCTTTTGGCTGGTTGAATTTTGATTGATATGTTTGATACTAATTGTTCGGCCATTGTTTATTCTGGATTTACTGTTTATTATCATTTTTTTCAAATAGACAAATTACTGTCCGTGGAATTTTTGAAATTTCTTTTCTTTTCTTTCCTTGTTTGAATTGTTTTTAGTCTGTATAGAAAAGTTAATCATGCTGAGTATGAATATTAATAAAACTTTTAGTTACTTCTCTGACAATTTTAATTCCAGGGGTGTTCAAAATTTGTCCTACACTCTAGTGATGCATGCATATTCAACAGTAAATTTTATAGAAATTAGGAAATATGTCGTTATATTTATTGTCATATACTTATACACGAATAGGTAACAGTTTATACACTCATTTTTAATAGCATTTAAATATCTCGAATAAAGAAATTGTACTATTATAGTAGATAATAAAAATCCACATATTTGATAGCAACTATGTATGAATTGGAAAAAAAAAACATACAGCTAGGTGAAACAGTGAGGAATAGGGGTCCCAAACTTGTTATGTTTTTAGCTCACCTGAGCCGAAGGCTCAAGTGAGCTTTTCTGATCACATTTTGTCCGTCGTCCGTCTGTCTGTCTGTCCGTCCGTCTGTAAACTTTTCACATTTTCGACTTCTTCTCCAGAACCACTGGGCCAATTTCAACCAAACTTGCCACAAAGCATCCTTGGGTAAAGGGGATTCAAGTTTGTTCAAATGAAGGGCCATTCCTTCTTTCAAGGGCAGATAATTAAGAATTAGTGAAAATTTGGTGGTATCTTTTAAAAATCTTCTTCTCAAGAACCACTGGGCTGTAAAAGTTGAAACTTATGTGACACCTTCATTACATAGTGTAGATTCAAATTTGTTCAAATCGTGACCCCCAGGGGTAGGGTGGGGCTACAATGGGGGATCAAAGTTTTACATTGGAATATATAGGAATAAATCTTTAAAAATCTTCTTCTCAAGAACAACAAAGCCACAATTAGTCATATCCTCAGGTAGTGCAGATTCAAGTTTGTTCAAATCATGACCCCCAGGGGTAGGGTGGGGCCAAAATAGGGAATCAAAAATTTACATAGGAATATATAGAGAAAAAATCTTGTAAAATCTTCTTCTCAAGAACAACAAAGCCACAATTAGTCATATTGATATAGAATCATCCTCAGGTAGTGCAAACTCAAGTTTGTTCAAATCATGACCCCCAGGGACAGGATGGGGCCACAATGGGGGATCAAAGTTTTACAGAGAAATATATAGGAAAAAATCTTGAAAAATCTTCTTCTCAAGAACAACAAAGTCAAAATTAGTCATATTGATGTGGATTCATCCTCAGGTAGTGCAGATTCAAGTTTGTATCAAATCATGACCCCTGGGGATAGGGTGGGGCAACAATGGGCGATCAAAGTTTTACATAGGAAAATACAGAAAAAAAAATTGAAAACTCTTCTTCTCAAGAACAGCAAAGCCTTGTTAAGTCATACTGATATGGAAGCATTCTCAGATAGTGTAGATTTAACTTTGTTCGAATCATGACCCCCAGGGGTAGGGTGGGGCCACAATGGGGGATCAATGTTTTACATAGGAATATATAGAAAAATATCTTGAAAAATCTTCTTCTCAAGAACAACAAAGTCACAATTAGTCATATTGATGTGGATTCATCCTCAGGTAGTGCAGATTCAAGTTTGTATCAAATCATGACCCCTGGGGATAGGGTGGGGCAACAATGGGCGATCAAAGTTTTACATAGGAAAATACAGAAAAAAAAATTTGAAAACTCTTCTTCTCAAGAACAGCAAAGCCTTGTTAAGTCATACTGATATGGAAGCATTCTCAGATAGTGTAGATTTAACTTTGTTCGAATCATGACCCCCAGGGGTAGGGTGGGGCCACAATGGGGGATCAACGTTTTACATAGGAATATATTGGAAAAAACTTTAAAAATCTTCTTCTCAAGAACAGCAAAGTCATGTTTTGTCATATTGATATGGAAGCATCCTCAGGTAGAGTAGATTCAAGTTTGTTCAAATCATGACCCCTGGGGGTAGGAAGGGGCCACAATGGGGGATCATAGTTTTACATAGGAATATATAGGGAAAAAAACTTGAAAAATCTTCTTCTCAGGAACAGCGAAGCCATGTTTTGTCATATTGATATGGAAGCATCTTCAGTTAGTGTAGATTCAAGTTTGTTCAAATCATAACCCCAAGGGGTAGGGTGGGGCCACAATGTGGGATCAAATTTTTACAAAGGAATATATAGGAATAAATCTTTTCAACAACAGAAAAGCCATGTTTAGTCATATTGATATGGAAGCATCCTCAGGTAGTGTAGATTCAAGTTTGTTCAAATGATGGGGGGGGGGGGGAGGGTCCACAATTGGGGATCAAATTTTTAACAAGGGAATATATAGGAAAAAAATCTTTAAAAATCTTCTGCTCATGAACAGCAAAGCCATTTGTTATATTGATATGGAAGCATCCTCAGGTAGTTCAAAATCCAAGCCCCTCCCCCCCCCCCTTTAAACTTTTCAATACTGGAGTGATTTGTGCTTTTTCCTAGCCAATGTGCTCAGGTGAGCGATGTGGCCCATGGGCCTCTTGTTAAGATATACATGAGATCGATCACTGTTCTATTCTTAACCTTTTTCATTGGTTCCATCTTATGGCAAATAGCGATAAAACGCAATCAAATTAATTAACAATCACGCTGTAAGGCAAAGTATCTGTGACTTCACAGACTCAAGACGGAGCTTTTTTTCCGGGATGGGTTAGGTGAAAATGCAAACACCCTCAAGCAACCTTTAACTTGGTCATTTTACCCGGTGATCTGACAGAAAGAGTACATAAAGACTCTCTATCTCACTTCTGAATGATAAATTTTATCTGGAAGGTTTCAAATGACCCTTTCAATCAGAAGCAACCATATTCTGTTGCTTTGTGAACTTTGATGATTAATATTTTTATGGAACCTTTTTGTTTTTAAAAAAATTGGCTTTCCGAATGAATGAAAAAAATCTTCTGAGAAAGACTGGGTCAGGCCGTCTTAAAAATATTGTTTGTTTGCCCTCTCCCGACTAACACTTAAAAAAATGGATCGGTAGGTAGGTGAAAATTTCAAAGAAAATTTCAACATGTTTCTTCACAAGAAGAGAAAAATCAGGGGGAAAAGTAAAAAAAAAAATGCTTCCTGGAGGTTAAAAAGTTTTGAGTCGGGCCATTTTTAGTCGGTCGGGAGTGGGGAAACAAACAATTTTTTAAAGATGGCCTCATTATAGATTTTCTTTTTTTTTGAAAGGAACAGTGTATGTATCTATGTAATTTTTTCAACGGTTAGTTTAAAATCTTACAATCATCTTCAAGATTTTTAAAGAATTAGAAAAAGGAATACCTGTTTGTTTATTTTTTGATGCAGTGCTTGCCTGGATTTTAGCGTGTGGAAAGTTAACCACCTATGTTTCTATTTTACTTTTTATATATTACAAAGCGTCCGTAGAAGGGGAATCAATGTTTTTCCCAAATATTCAACCATTAAACCAAGTCAATGTTTCCCTGGGCAAATGCAATCTTTCCGACGATGTAGATGAAGTAAAGTTCCAAATCTTCAATAGAATATTAACATGATGTTGCCATGCAGGCATAAATGTACCTATATATAGAAGTTTGTGGACTCCCTTGATGTTGCCATGCAGGCATAAATGTACCTATATATAGAAGTTTGTGGACTCCCTTGATGTTGCCATGCAGGCATAAATGTACCTATATATAGAAGTTTGTGGACTCCCTTGATGTTGCCATGCAGGCATAAATGTACCTATATATAGAAGTTTGTGGACTCCCTTGACGTTGCCATGCAGGCATACATGTACCTATATATAGAAGTTTGTGGACTCCCTTGATGTTGCCATGCAGGCATAAATGTACCTATATATAGAAGTTTGTGGACTCCCTTGATGTTGCCATGCAGGCATAAATGTACCTATATATAGAAGTTTGTGGACTCCCTTGATGTTGCCATGCAGGCATAAATGTACCTATATATAGAAGTTTGTGGACTCCCTTGATGTTGCCATGCAGGCATAAATGTACCTATATATAGAAGTTTGTGGACTCCCTTGACGTTGCCATGCAGGCATACATGTACCTATATATAGAAGTTTGTGGACTCCCTTGACGCAATTAGGCTATACAGTAAAACAGATTCTGAGTACACTTGAATATAGATTTCAACTTAATCATAATTGCTTACGCTGTCATATAAAGTTCTTCGATAGCTTAGAGTCAAACTAAAGAAAAATCATTTTTCGACAGTAGTCAGAACAAAATTTTATTTAAGCCAAAACATGGAACAACACACGCTTTTCTAAAGCGTATACCAAAAAAATAATAATAACACAGACATAAATACTACATAGCAAACTTGGTAACAAGAAAATAACAAATATGATCAAGATTTAACTTGATTTGAACATGTCGCAAAGAATTCTCTCAATTGGAATGTTGCCAATTGTTCTTCTGAAAAAGATGTCCTCTATCGCCCGCGAACTCACATTGCACATAGCCGGAAGTTGTAAAAGCAGTCTGCCAAAACGTGTTTTAAGGAGCCTCTGGTTACTGACATAATCATTCAGCATCATTTGGGCTTGATCCTGTAATGCTTCCACTTGTAGCGAATCACGCAGCCCCTTAACATCTAAAAAATAAACTGAATTTTAAAAAAAATGCAAATGGCATTACATGTTAAAGGTTTGGAGAATGATATATATTGCGGTATCTGATGTTCATAGCTATCAGCTAGAGAAGTGCAATAAATACAGGGTAAATATAGTACTTCGAGGGTTGCTAAATAATCGAATTAACAAAAACACAATGATTTTTTAATTATATGATTCAATGATTAAATGATACAAACACACAAGGCAAGACTAGCAGTCTAATCTGTTGTAGTCCTAACCGAACGCAGTGAGAGTGGCAGGATTTCAAAATTCATTGGCCGTCAAAAATAAACATATTGCATAGCAAAATTGTATTAATTTAGAACTTCTGATCTTTTTTTTTTTTTTTGTCAAATATAGAAAAAAAAACCAGAAGTCTCTGACGAGACTGTAACTCTATTGGTTTGTACTTACAACAATGGAAAAGAAAAGTAGCACTTGAACTTGAAACTTTGCAACAGCAATAAAGAGAATAATGTTCCTTGGTTTAGTCTCTTTTGTGGCAAGAATTATTGAAATCAGACCAAAACTGTAGGAGGAGTAGCTTTTTAAAAGCATTTCACAGAAATTTCTATTTCTAGCAAACATGGCAACACCGGTCATCGAAGTCAAAACAGAAATATAGAATTTTGTATCTTATTGTAGTCTTCTTGTGTGCCAAGTTATATTGATATCAGATTAAAACTTTAGGAGGGTTAGCCTTTTGAAAAAAAAAATGATTACAGACAGACAGATGACGGACACCTTACTATCGCATAAGCTTCTCTGGTCTCTGACTAGTAGAGCTAAAATTCAAATGTTATATTTACCTGATAGGTTGGGTGCAGTTGAATATAACTTATGATTTCAGCCAGAGAAGCATTCAATCATATAATAAACATGTTTTTAAAAATGCAAAATTAAGGTGTTATCAAATGTTATACTCTTGCATTTAGTATAAACCAAACTAAGAGCCTACCAGGCTTAAACAGCAGAATGGCTTTGAGACATGCATACTCGGTGGAGTCGACCCTGATGCTATTGAGTCGGTAGATGATATCCTGAACCTGCCTCAACTGCACGGACATCAACGATGTCTTCTCCATGTTGGGCCCATCTAACGTGTATCCATTAGCGTTTAACAGGTAACCTGTAAAATATTGCAAGGTTAATATTTTGCGTAGGAAATCATGGAATTTACTGTAATTCTTACATATGATTAACAACTAGATTGACAAACTTTTGAGCAATATGGCTTACCAACGTCTATGTTAAGCGACCATTGAGCAGCACTGAGGACAAACAGTTCACACCATGACTCCTCCAGAAGAATAGCCTGGTCCCTGAAAGGGAGTTGGAGAAAAGACGGAATATTTCTTGCCCACTTGACGGACATAAACAAAAGTTTAGCGGCAGTCTCAAATGTACACTCATTAGAAGAGGGACTGGTATAGAGAGCATTGTCTGTTGGTCTGTCGGTGGACTGTGGTGGCACTATAGCTGTGTTCTGATCCATCCCGCTTTTAGCTGGTGATGCCATTTTGGGTGGGGTAAGCTGATTCTTTTCGTCTGACAGAGACGTACTGGAACTCACTGGAGATGGCAGCTCCATGCTTGGTCTGATGTCTGTATCTGTAAAACAATTTTCAAAAATTCATGAAATACAGAAAAAGAAACTCTTATTCAAATTTTAAAGAAAAACTGTTTTAAAGATTCTCAAAGCGATAAAACATAATAAAATATTACTGAATACCTTTTTCGGGTTTGATGTCAAGTGGAAGTGGACTTGTGTCACACTGCGATAACCTGGTATCCTGGGTCGAGTCCACGGAGGGAGAGGGGGAACGACTGATACTTTTATCTCCACCGTTAATAGAAGAGTTTGTGGAGGACACGCTGCTACTTCCTCCATCACTGACATCCTGGTGCGGACGGAGGCCGATATCAATGTTGCCGTTAGTGATGCTGGCAGACAGGAAGTAGTTTCTCTTTTGGTCCGGTATGGGTACCGGAAGAGTGGGGATGTATGGAGCATATCTAGGAACAGTATATTCTGGGCGATATCCGATATTCATTCCGTAATTTGGGATCTGGTTGTACGTGTAGCATCTGAAAAGTAATACAAACAAATGTGAAAAAACAAAATATTTAAAGAACCTTTTACAAAATTGTTAATTGTGGCATCGTTATTGCTTGTTGAAAACTCAAAATTCAGCGGTTGATGTATCATTATTAATGCACATATTCAGTTGTATTCAAAAGTTGTACCTCTGACGCTCAAACATATCCCCGATTTGATGAGGAAAAGGAGAAGGGTTCTTTATGGAATCGCCATAATGTTCAGAATTGTCTCTCTTGTAGTGGTAACAGCGTGGGGCTCGCTCATGCTGAACAGCTGAAAAAGACATTGTTATGTTGGTTGCATTAGGTTGTTTCAGAGATAAGAAGTCGTACTATGCAAACGCGGATGAAAACTAGACCGTGTAAATTTCGTACTCTTTAATCAAAATAAATATCAGACGGTTTCGTTTAGGACCATATTTGGACAATAAAAATTCCATGCTGTAACTAAAAGCACCTATAATGAAGAGGATCCGGCTATACAGACTCTACAATCTGTAAACTGTTGAACTGGGTATGCATTCATGTGATTGAGTGGGTATTTGGGGGTATCAAATTACTTTTTATTTACAAATTAGCTCTATTTAACACCAGGAGCTGACGTTCATTAAATATTTCTCTAATACTTCATTCCGTAATCTGTATACAAAACCTCTCGAGTAGTCGCGTGCGCTCGCGAGAGTTCGCCTGCGCAGTGAGAGCAGACAGGTGAGACGAGAATGGTTTTGTCAACAGAGTGTCACTCTCAGTAAGGGGCTTTGTCGTCAGTCAGTGTATGGTTTAATTAACCGATCCTAAGCAAACTGGGCATTGAAATATGTTTATTGTACAACAACAGAATCTCCGGAACAAAGAAATTATCGTTACAAACTTCCCATCTTTGACAAACAGTATGCTGATACTTGATCACTTAACACTCTATATAAAGACCCGATACATTTAAATGTAAAATGAGTGTTATTAATTTGGTCATTTGCTTTCAGTGCATTTAGCTTCAGTAGGGAAACTTCAATGAAACGAGATTTGCCCCTCCCCTCTCTCATTCTCTCTCTGTCTCTGCTGCGAACCCTTTATACTTCAAGGTAAAACCAATTATTTATATAAAATCGAAAATAATATAGAAATATAGTTATACATGTAATAAATAAAACGATTGACAAGATCGATTTGAATTTAATGTAATCAACTTCTGTATTTGTTCAACTTCTGCTGCAGACCCACTTGAAGCAATACATATTAGCATGGTTTAGAAATCGCTCTAAAGACACGATTTCACTTCATCATTACACAAAGTTTATGTTGACCCAAACCCTAGAACCGGCAATTGTTATGGATCAGCGCAGATTTTTTCCGGTACACCCGATCCCGACTGATTGATCACTCCGGAGAAAGGTGCACTCGAGATGACGGATTGGGGAGCATTCTGAGAAAGCACAGGTGAAGTCAACATGATTACCTGAAGTTTGGTAGACAAATATTTTAAGACCAATTGGAAAAAAAGCTACATGCAGAAGCCAAACCTCAAGCACTTGTCCAACCATCCATCAATTAACTTTCAAAGCCTTGTTAACGTACAAAAAGAAATCACTTGTCATTTTTTCAGTTCTAAACATCCACTTTTAGAAAGCGAGAGAAAATAAGTGTATACGTAATGTTATATCAAGCATTAAAAGAAAAGAAACTTTTTTACCGTCTCGATTCATCTTCATCTCTAGACATTTCCGGAATCTGCAGGCCTGACATTGGTTTCTTCTCGCAACATCTACAATGCAATTTCCATTCTCTTTGCAGACGTATTCCAGACTTCGGCGAATGCTGCGCTTGAAAAATCCCCGGCAACCATCACAACTCTGGACACCATAATGCTTTCCTGAAGCCTTGTCACCACAGACAAGACATAGGACTTCCGGTTTTCTATCTTGCTGACCAGCGTCTAAAACAAAACAAAAGATTCATTATTATCATTTTCTTAAATTTTCATTAATTTCTAAAGATTAAAAAACAATAGCTTCAGGTACAGCCACAGTTAGGACAAAACATTGTTAAAATTTTGATTAATTAAAAGTACTTGTATTTTGAAAATGCAGTTTGCTTTTACGGTTGATTTTTATTAGGCATTAACCCCAATGTACAAGTGTAGGCATCGATTTAATATCAACTTGTAAAGAAATAAAATCTTTTTTATTTTTTTCTCTCTCGTCTCTTTTATTCAGGAAATATTAACTTACCTAAAAAAAAATTCATAATTAAAAATCTATGATTATCATCATATATATATTAATAGTTATCGCCTTTATTGTCCATTTATGTCCGTGATATTTTATTATAACCCCTTCCTTTCTTTCCAAACACCCCCCCCCTCTTTTTCTTATCGCCCTGCATTTTTTGTATTGTACATTTGTTTGTTGTACATCAAGTGTATATGTATATGTCATTTTGTTTGTGTTGGAGAGGACAATCTAAGTTAATAAAACTTGTATCCAATCCTATTGATTATGTTTCAATAAAATATGTTTAAATAAAATATATATATATATTTTATCCACCGGTCATTTTGTCAAAGTCTTTGAATTGAGATAAACCAAAAACTGTCATATTAAACTTTCTATTATGACCATGAATAACAAATATATCACTATAAAATCCCCCCAAAAACTGAGATGTATTTACACTCACAAAAAATCTTTTGTTAAAATAGGAGATAGATAACTTTTAATAATATTGAATATAAGAATAAAGAAATAAATATGAAAAGACAAAATCAGATTAATTTAACTAATCATTTCCAGATGAAACAACGCTTGTGTCATTTCTATTTCATCCAAGAAAGGACAAAATAAAGCATTTAAGTACAACAAAAATTGTAATGACTGCTAAAACACGAAACCCCATGAGGTCGGGGGGTCATATGCAGATTAACCGAGTCCCCGCTGCGTTTGAGCGTGTCTTTTGACTGTTATTTCTCATGACAGCGGGTGGTAATCATTTATGTTTTTACTCTGCTAAATTTGAAAAACAACAAACAACTCTCCAATATTGTATCACCCGTGACAGTTAAAGAACATACAAATTCTGTTTTTATTGAATTCTTCATTGTCAATGTTATACTTGCGAAAATGTTGTTTCCGAAATATGTATTGTATTTGTATTGTATTTGGTTTCGAAAAAAAGATAAAAATAAATAAATAAATAATGAAAAAAATTTAAATCTTAAATTTTATAAAACCAAAAGGTCTTTCATATTTTTTTATGAATAATAGTTAGGACTTTTTTAAACAGAAAAAAGGGGGAAATATTATAATTTGGAAACAGATAATCTCTTGCATAAATGTGCAATATATCTAAGATCACGCTGTTACCCCATCGTGTATTACTCCTTTCGTCGTTATTCTACGCAACACCATGTAACACGACTCTAAATAATATTATTAATATTGACTAATTTATTACAAATTTTTGTTTTCCACTATACAAAAGGATAGAATTTAACAGTAATGATTTTAGTTTGTCTTTCATACATATATCAGTTACACAATATTACGACAAAAGTCCATGTCCCTACGAGTTCGCATTCAGGGAGGGAGAGCTTTATGAAGCATTATATCACCTTCTTAAATTGTTGCGTAATGTTGCCAACTTTTGGTATTCTTTTTAATCTCCGTGCCTTAAAGAATATGATATAATAACGATGATTTATGGTTAATTAAATGGGTTTAAGGATTAATGTAAAATTGCAAACAAGTTGCAAATAAATAACTTTTTTATATGTTTTTTTCTTTAAAGCAACGTAACTTTAAACTGTTTTATTAAATTTGTTTCGTAGATTTATTTTACATTTTTTAGAACGCATGCTCAATCACATAGTTTTAGATCTACTAAAAAATTCAGTTTTTAGGAAATCCTCTTTTTTCAGACGCTACAATAAATTTGATTTATATATGAAAAGAGAACATTTACATACTGGCTATAAATAATAATGAAATAATTTTTAACGATCTACATGTATGCATACATGTAGATATACAAATTCTTGACACTTCGCCAGCGCATTTCTTAGAAACCCGGGGCCTGTTTTACAAAAGAACTTACGACTAAGACCAAATACTTAAAGTGATTGTAATTCCAGCAAAATTAATGATTCTCTTAAAAAATAGTTGCACAGAAATATTCTTTAAAGTTATTTTTAAAAAGCTAGAAACCATTTTCAAATTAGTGTGAAAAAAATTATTTGCAAAAAACCCCCAACATTTTGATCTTAGACCTAAGTTCTTTCGGTAAACGTGGCCCTGGTTTAGAAATCAAACAAGACATTTTTTTTTGTCGCTGTGAATTAAATTTTATTTTTTATCTAGTATAAAAACAAATAGGTTTTTTTCGGGTTTTCACACTTAGCATAATCAATATTTTCCATGTAAAGATACAAAAATAAGCATGTACATATATTTGCTTCTGATATTCCTTTAATTACAAATCGCTCTATCGAGAATGCCTTTCGAACGCGACGACTTTAGCCCGAGGTCAACATGATAAAAAAATTGGAACGGGTTTCACATGGGGATAAAAATAAATGCAAATACATACAAACTAAGAAATAAACTTTTAAAAGTTCTTCTTGAGATAAAAAAAAGTCAATGGTATAAAATATGTACCTCTGATAATTTCAGGAGACAGAATTGGATTCATTCTTCCTGAAGACCTGTAGAATTCTCGGTATATGTCGGCTGCTGGTGGAATGTCGTAATACACAACGGACAGTACTGATTTCTCCTCACCCCTAACCCGGCGATGATCGCGTCAATCTCGTGCAAGTTGAGCGCTGAATGACATTCCAATCCGACTTCTGATTGGCCGATTGTTTACGCCGTCATCTCATTGACGATTCTTCGTTGGGTGGGTGATACAACGGTGATATTTTAATAACTTTTACATAATCACCATTCTTCTTTTTAATTAGCCATCATTGAGGACAGTTTTTAACCATGTAATATTTTGGCCATAAGAGCTTTATATTTTTGGTAAAGTTGCCCAAGATTATCTCAGGATTATGTGATATTGCAGGTTTGAATGCTCTCTCTAGTATCCAATGGGGAGAGTGAGGAGTTTTGAGAGGGATTAATGCGAAGATTATCTGATCAGAAAATTAGGGATTTATTTTTGGCGTTACCTGAGCTGTTCGGAGCACAGGTGAAAGCTGGTCGTGGCCCCCCACTGGTCATGTTGACGTAGCTGGACAACTTTTAAATCTATGCCAACCAAGTAGTTCTGTTTCACTGTTGTTTTTTTTTACTGTGATCCTAGGTACTAGTATTTCTAGAAAGTTAAAAAAAAAATAACATTTAATAAAAAGAGTATTTCCATTTATTTCTCCCCTATACTCTTTTCCTGTGTTTTAATTCAACATAGGTGACGATCTTTTACTTTAAAAATATATATCCTACTGTAATGAAATTAAATGATATCTAAATACATGTACATGCATTAGAAAAGATTTTTAAAAAAAAACCCATCGGTTATGAACCCCCGCTGATCACAGTGGTATATCTAGTGTTCAACTATTTTCTTAATTAATAAACAGAAACTATTTGTTAGCGAATTTCTAAAACGTGTAAAGGGATTTCAAACCTGTACCAATGAGAATTTGAATAAATATCTGACACCCATCCCTAAATATACACATAATGAATGAAAAACATATCTGACTAGCCCTTGTGCTTAAAATACATCTATTTTTGTTTTCTTCTTTATAGTTGAGCAGATCCTATAAGACGGTACATAAATGAAGATCATGATTGTTTCTTGAATAAATCGTTAACTTATCTCTATTTGAAAATAAAATATAGTCGTGTACTTATTCCAATTTTCAAATAAAAAGCTAAACAACAAAAATTTTGTTTATTTTTCCCTATTGTAAAAGTTATGATGCAGCTCAGTATTTGTTGTGATATTCCTTTTAGTTCTCTATTTGTTGTCGCTCTCTTATTGTTTAGAAACTCCAGAAGTCATAACACATCAATTTCATTTTTTTTAATTGTAACATAACATTATGCTATAATGACTAATTCTTTGATCATTTTGAGTGCAATACTTTGAAATTCTATTGATTATATCATTTTGGGATAGAAAATAAAATAAGAATATCAATGTTCATTTGAATTTGTCAAAGTGGGCAACACCTATCTCTATCCGGTAAACTTTTTGTTTCTTGATTTCAACTTTTATGTTTTGAATTTCCTCGAATTTTACGCAGTAGAAATTTTTCTCTTTCTCGTAAGCCCCAAAATAAAGAATGAATCCTTGGGTGAAAGGAATTAAAGTTTGTTCAATAACTGAATGAGTCCGTTATAAGGGAAAGGAAATGCAGAATAGGACAATAGGAAATTGTTTAAAAAGACGGCGTGGTTCTTCAAAATATAAAACTTTTGTAAAATCATCCTCATGCATTAACCAATTGTAAGTTAAAATTGTCACAGAAATAATTGTAGGAAAACTATCAAATTTATTCAACTAAAACACACCAAGGCTACAAATTGTCACTTCAATGTACAGGCCCGTAGGAAGCAATTTCAGCTTGGGAAGGGGGGGGGGGCATAACCATACATTTTCAGTTGGGGGAGGCACGATCAACTACCAAAAATTCCTTGACAAGCAAACAAAAGAGGCATCAGACGTTATTATTGAGGGGGGCACAAGCATATACTAGCTATGTTTTCTATGTAGTATTCTAAATATCGGGCAATATTTTGGGGGGTATGCATATGCCCCCCCGTGCCCCCCCCCCCTCCTCCGTGTACAGCCATGAAGTACTGTCGACCTGATGGTCCTTAGTGATAGGATGCGTTCATATGACAAGATTTCTTGCTATTTTTAAAACAAAGGTTACAATTTGTCAAAGTAATTGGGTGTATGCCGCTAAAACATTCCTACATTCGTCCTTTCATATATCTAAAGATTGCAGATTGTCATTGAATATTTTATTATTGTATCATCGGAAAAAAGGTAAAAGATTACCATGATAATGGAATCGCAAGTGTAAAGTTCTCTATTTCCTTTCAACATATTTCTATTGTATATTCATGGTATCATATTGTAAGAGAAGCTTTTTTAAAAATATTATTTTGACTCATGAACAAAGCCTAAATTATATCCGTTGGTTGTGGGTGTGTGTGAAGCAGAAAAGAGGTAATTATTCGCACTACACATCCCAATTCCCTCTTGTAAAGGGTTTGTCCCATCTACCGAGCACTGTTTTTTTTCCAAATCTCAACATCAAGGCTGGGACGAGGCCTTCATAATAATTCAAGTTTTACATACGAATAATCTTACATCTAAGGGGAAAATTAAGATGGTTCTGATTTAAAAAAAAAAAAAAAAAAAAGAAACAACAACAACTGATTCACTAGCCTTTTTTGCATGTTTAAAAAAAACAAAATCACAATAGATTTTTTTAATATTAGCATAGGAAAAAAGAACATTTAGTAAATAAAAAATCCTTCAGACTTAGTTAACAAGATCATGAATTATCAACTTATAAATATGAAGATAAAAGTAGCCAGACTATATTTGCTGTAGTCGTGTATTTTGTACATGTACTTCATACGGTAATTTATTCAAAGAAAGAGATTGATAAATGTATTTCTGAAACAGCACTGCGAGCGTTGTACATAGTCTTATTTCATCACTTCGGAATACTCGAAGAAAGGTAATTTTCAAGTTTTCAAATCTTCAGGATAAACAAAAACTTGTATCCGTAGTATCAAGATACAAATTCTGTCTTGTATTTCTTTTAGAAAACATTCTATATTCCTAGCTATTATTTGTTTAATAACGAGTCCATGATAGTTAAGGATAGCGCATGCTCTAGCATCCGACGGAGCCAGAAGTAGGACTATGTAAACGACAAATAATTCAAAGATAATTGATGTTGGTTTCTCCTCCATCAAAAACCAAACGTCGACATGAACCGGAATCACGGAGCAAACGTCTGCTTCACTTCAGTGACAGAAGTGTCATTGTATTGCAGACGACATCAACAATAGTAAGTATGGCCGTCCATGCTAAATCACATATCTAGTCATCAAGGGTCGGAATTCCTCCCTAATTGGAAACCATTGGATAATAACGGGAACGGCTTGGCTGCCATTAGCGCGTGCTCGACAGTGCTCTCCTTGATAACACTCTTAGTATACAGTATCAACGAAGAACCAAGCCTCAATTACAGTTTCATTCATTGAGTAATTCATTAGATTTCTCTTTGTATACTCTTTTGCTTCTAATCAAAGAAAACATGCAGGTCTTTCAACTGTTCCTATTATATGAATATATATAAGACAGAAAATCTTTGTTTCCTGACTTTTTACTCATTCAATTGAGGCCTTCCTTGAAATATTTTTTTTTTTTTTTACAAAGATGTATGATCAATGATGGTACGAACATTCTTAAAATTGATCACACTTTGCTCATCTTCTGTTTAGGTTATAATAAGAAATTTTGAAGGATTCAATCAAAATACATCCTACATATATACATAGACATGTAGATGAGAGCAAAACAAGTCTTTCAATATTTTAAGACCTAGTCCATACTATTGAATCTTAAGGATGTTGGGTGGACAACAAATTACCCAACTGATCCATCCTAAAAATAAGAAATATGATTTTTGAATTTTTTTCTTTTATCAAGTAAGGAAAAACCCATGTTTCAGCTCTAATATTTAATGCAATTTTCTATATTTTTGTACAGAGCTCTTCTTTTCCTGGAGGTAAAAATCGTCTAGAGGTATGACAACATAACTTTTTAAAAATCTCAGGCATATAAACTTAATCTCGCATTTCTTGGTTTTAAGTGAAGTTCATTTCCTTCAAAACTCTTCTATATAGATGTATCGTAGTAGTATACATGTAAGTGTTGTTCAGTTGTGCCAGAAAATTTGACCTTGATCTTGATAATAACATAATAAGGATCTCTTAATCCTTTGTAACAAGGTTTGTACATGTATTTGAATAATTTGTCATACACATCTTTAACTTCGTTCAGAATTTGCTAAAGTTACTCTGAGAAAGATTGGATTACTGTATTGACAAAACAAAAGCAAAATTCAAAAGGAGTCCTCTAGCAGACATAACTGATGTGAATATTTTGAAAACTTTGAGTATAATTGAAAAAGAGAGATAACGCCTACATAATTATATTCTAATTCAAATAAATCTTTTAAAAAGTACCTTAAACATATTTTTTAATTAATCTTAATCAACACCTTTTTGATTTCCTTTTTTAATATGAAATTTATTTGAAGGATTCATCAAATCTAATTCTATTACGTTAAAGGAATATCGAATAGAACATAGAGCCCATACGGAAGAGAATATTTGGATATTGTATGATTATTTTCTCGAAATGAATGCTAGTGAAAACATTTCGATAAAATCTTATAAAGAACACTTTTGATTCGCTTACTAGATTTTCACATTTTGTCTTTTTCATTGAAAATACCAAAAGTTATAAAGCGATTAGTCAAAAGATAAATATACATGTGTTTCAAAATACTCTACAATTTTTACTGATTTTAAGATCAATACATGTACGATAATTTAGCTAGCGAGCTATCCTTCTGGGTCGGTGTATATTCATTTATACATGTACTAAACTTAGACTAAATTTAAATTGTTTTTAAGATCGTTTTAAAGAAATTGTACACATGAAAGGGATTAGCAATTGTCAAACTTTATACTGCCTATTTGGCTTTTTTCACGTATAATGATTGATATTTAATGAAGAAACATGAAAAGAAGAGTAA